GATCAAAAATCTGCAATATTAAAGGAAAATCTCCCAATTTCTAACTTACTAACTTACCATTTTCTCCAAAAAATAATTTTTTGAAATATTTTCAATTATGGTTTCTGACTAGATGTAATAACTTTTAAAGGTCCTAGACATATGAAAAGATCTTGTAGTATAAGATTCCAGCTTCTTCCTCCGTGTGATGTAAAAAAACTCAAATTGTCCAAATATCGGGTTCGAAGTTTGGAAGCTGTTGGAGAACCTCCTTAAGAGAAATATTAGCAATACTGGAGATAATTAATTTTTGTTGTACTTTTTTTGCTTTGGTGAACAATTTAAAAAATCGATTTTTATAAATCATCCTGTATTTCTATCTTCTTAAGTTCTAGTTTACAGAAATCATTAAATCGATGTTTATTTTTAAGAAGGCCTAGGACGGTTTTAAAATCAATGTCATTGAGAGTGAAAACCGTTGTTGTTATTCGTGGAACCGAATGTGTATGCAGCCGTGCACATTTTGTTTTGTTTAGTCACTTTATATCGCACATTGCACAAACAATCCCTATTCGTGATTTGCATATTGCACTTCTGGTTATCGCCATTAAATTCGCAGGTTAAACTATATTTCGCAAGAAAATTACATTTATTTTATTTATTTTGCACTAAGAGATAAGCCAAGGTTTATATATTTGAACTCCGTCAACCTTGGATTGTGGTAGGAAATTAAAATTGAAATGACAAGGGAAGTTCTAAGAGTTGAATTTTGCTGAGGGTTATTATACCATTTATACTTTTACGTTTGATGTTAACCCAGATGTATAATCTTAACGAGCCGCGTGGTTAGAGCCTTGAAGGTTATAGATATAGGATAAAACAATCAAAGGACAGTAAAGGGTTAAACTTCCTTATTCTGTTAGTCATAAACTTAGTTTAAGAACCTAGGATCATATTACTAAACCTCAAGGAGGAATATCTAGGACAGTTCATAATCCATACTTAGCTATAGGTTACTAAATTTTCTCATTATAAAATAATGAAAATAATATTGAAATTCATCAAAACCATTGCATACTTTAACAAGCAGATGTTTGCTTTTTAATTATGTTGAGGCAACAATTAATCCCAAATGTAAGACCACAAAGTTCCACTAAATATGAAAAAGTATTGAATAATGATGATTTGTATTACAACTGTTATTTAAGATAAAAATGCAAATTCAATAATTGACATTGGTCTTTAAATTTTCATATTTTCCGTTTTGGTCCTAAGAACTTGTGAAAATCGAAAGATCTTTCATGTGATAGACTTAACAGGACTTTTCTAAGTTAAGATATTTCCTACTGCAAACAACTGTACTATTTCATGCGAGATAGATTTTTCTGGAGAGTTAGAATTTCTATATTTCTGAAACAAATGATAAATGAAGTTAGGGCGCGGTTTGATATCCTAGTTGACCTGTAAACTGTAGAGTGTGAACCCAGAGATCCAATTCAATCCATCTGGAACTCATCACATTCCTCATTCAACCAAATAGAAATCCAGAATTTGGAATTTTCATTCATTCCTCGTATTTTTGATCACATATCTTGAGTAGTTCTTTACATTCTTCATAGGAAAATCCAGAAAAAAAACATCGCCAAAACTTTGTTTTTTTTTATAAAAAGATTTCAGATTTCAGATTTTAATTCAGTGTAAATGTATGATCGATATCTATGTACAGATATGATTGATATCTGTGTAAAGATATGGTTTATTGATATCTGTGTATAGATATGTTGATATCTGTGTAAAGATATGGTTGATATCTGTGTAAAGATAAGGTTGGTATCTATGTAAAGATATTGTTGATATCTGTGTAAAGATGTGGTTGATATCTTTGTAAAGATATGGTTGATATCTGTGTACAGATATGATTTATATCTGTGTATAGATATGGTTGATATCTGTGTAAAGATATGGTTGATATCTGTGTACAGATATGGTTGATATCTGTGTACAGATATGGTTGATATCTGTGTAAATATATGGTTGATATCTGTGTAAAGATATGGTTGATATCTGTGTAAAGATATGATTAAAGAATGTTGAAAGGTCTGTAGCTTGTTATATCCCCTGAGCCTATTTCTAGAGTCTAGATATCTTTGTAAACAGTGTATATGTATATATATGGATATCTCATCTTATCAATTTTCAATCTTGATAGGACTTTAGCTTCAGACAAAACAACTGGAATACCTACCCTACTAGTTATAAGTGAAGTATTAAACTTGATATCATCACTTTTATGCATCATTTTAATTGGAGACTTTCATTCTTTATATATACATTTTTAAGGTTTACAACTTGAGTCTCAAATCTTGATGCATGTTTTTCTAGTTCTATGCATCATTATAACTCTATTTGCATCATTGTAACTCGAGTTTAGATTTCTTGATGCATTCACTGGTAGGTCCATGCATCTTTACAAGTTGAGTTCAGAATCTACTAAGTCTTTCATGCATCATTATAACTAGATTTCCTGATGCTTTCATGTCTAGTTATGTTCAATGCATTACTACAGATTTTGGTATATTTTATGATTGTCCGGNTAAAATCCTGCCGCGTGACTTGTTTTCTTGTCACGTGTCTCTGATTGACCGGCGTGAAGGGCACACCTTGATCGTGAGCTATATTATTCCTTCACCATTCCTCAGCAACCATTCTTGTCGAGATAAATTCTAGAATATCTTTAATATTTCAATTGTTCACATAAACCAGAGAACAATACATACCACCCAAGAAGAGGCACGTCAAACTAAAGAAAATTGTACCTAAGATTAAAATATGTTTATAAAAAGAGCAAATGTGAAGAAAAGAAATGTTATGAATTTCTTATATGTAACCGGCTAAGATTATTTTTTCTTCTTCTTATACTTGTGCGTAAAATCAAAACTACATATTACATACAAATACATAAATTAACAGATTTCTTTTTGCTATAAACTTTACTAAAATCAAATTATTAAATTGCATATATTTCTTTAAAATGAGATTGTTAAGATGATCTTTTCCTAAACTTTTTCTTACAATATGACGGTTTTATTTTTATCATAAATCTTGTATTCGAGTAAAATGCTAATTATAAAGTGAATATGTCCAGTTAAATTTGGAACTATCTATGTACTTTGTTCGTAGATTTCTTCAAATTCTTCAAATGTCGTCTTTTCAATAAAAAGTCCAGGAAATCTATAGAAATGTTTGGGAACAATGAGACATTACAGAAACCAATAACTAAATAGTATTTATTATTTTCGATGATAATAGTTAATTTTTATTTTCTCAATCTGTTCCTAAACAACTAATTAGTTTACTGTAGAATCTTTACTACATTTTTCGTCGTCGTTATGAATGATTTTTTAAAAACTGATTCTCAAAATCATCCCTCAAAAATGAATGATTTTAAGGATTGAATTTGCGCTCTTGCTGAACAAATATGCACCGTAAAAACGTTACAAATGATTCCTAAAAAAAATTCTCCTCAATACTACTTTACCAGTTCAACTACCATACATTGCCGGTCACTCCCGTACATGCACAGAACAAAATAACAGGACAGATACATAGTTTATAACAGTCTAGAGTACAGATTTCAGTTCAAGTTACAGAATGGAGTTTAGAGTACAGAATTTAGTTCAGGGCGCGTAAAATAGTTCATAATGGAGAGTTCAGAGCACAGAATAAAGTTCATAGAACAGAATGGAGCTAAGAGTACAATATTGAGTTCAGAGTTCAGAATTGAGTTCAGAGTACAGAATAGAGTTCAGAGTAAAGATGAGAGTTTAAGGATCGAGTACAACACAGAGTACAGGATAATGAGTGAATTAAAATTTACATTTTTTTCACTGAGTGCATATATGGCAAAACCGAGTCCAAGTAAAAAAATAATTAAAAATTCTCTGAAATATCAATAAAACCATTTTAGAAATCCCAACTCCACATCGTTTTTGATGACATCCTTAAATTGTTCGATACAAGCCTCAAGTAGAACGGATGGTTAGAGAAAAACGTTCTAGGTTGAAAAATTCCACTCACGCTAGACTGGATGTTTAAATTAAAGAATTAAACTCGGTTTCTCTTGGTTCCGGTTCACCAAGCAATGAATAGGCCCCCAGATGTGAACCTAATTTCCCCTCCACCACACAAACTCAATATATCTAGTAACATTAATTCATTTATAAAAAAACAAGATAAATATGTTTTAAATATTATACGATCTCATTTTTATTAAAAACTCTCATAATAAAAAAAGAAAATTACTTCGTATGTCTTTTAATATTTCATCACCACTTCTCTCTTAAGAAAAGAAAGATAGTTTATAAGCTAGTTATATATTAGGCAAATTACAGTCCTGTATAAAGCAATGAAAGAAACTCCGGAATATAATAAAGACATGATTAGGACGTCTATAAACTATCATCATATAATCAGAGAGTTTATGTGAATATATGTTCAAACTTTTCCTAATGGTTCGTTCAGGGGCGTGCACAGGGTTTACACCACTCCTCTAAATCAAGGGGTGCTTCACTCAACTCCCCAAAGCGGGTGTAAGGGATAGATTTATATTTGCGCCCCTGCTCACTTTGAAAATGAGAATTCCTCCTGAGCTGAGAATATATTGGATCTGCAGATCTACGGTTTCAAAACCACAGTCCTACCAACCCTGTTCGGTCAAATTATCCTTGTACGCATTCAAAAAACTTACTTATAACAATATATCCACCATTTTGTCAAAAAATGGGTCTGAGTGCTGTACCCTGTTTTTATTGCGGTACAGTACAATACTTTTTGTTCACCTGTTGCATCTCGTTACTGTATGTACAGAACTACTTTTGTATTTATTGTATCACACTGCTTTAGTCCACTACTGTACGTTCACTTGATGTAAATTATTGCTTTACAGTACAGTACTATAAGTTTACTTGTTGTATACCATTGCTATGAAGTACAGTACTTTATATTAACCTGTTGTACTCTAGGATGATGGAGAGCATGAAGCTGTTTGACAGTATCTGCAACAACAAGTGGTTCGTGGACACCTCCATCATTCTCTTCCTCAATAAGAAGGTAATTAAACACTGTATACTGTACACTGTACACTGTACACTGTACACTGTACACTGTACACTGTACACTGTATACTGTATACTGTATACTGTACACTGCACACTGTATACTGTACACTTTACACTGTATATTGTATACTGCACACTGCACACTGTATACTGTACTTTTAACACTGTACAATGTACACTGTACACTGTACACTATATACTGTATACTGTTCACTGCACACTGTATACTGTATACTGTATACTGTATACTGTTCACTTGCACACTGTATACTGTATACTGTTCACAGTACATTGTTAATGTTTCTAGAATTCTTTGTTATTTTTATTAGTTAAACTTTAACTAGCCTTTTTGTATTGCGCAATCAAAAAATTTATATTTTTTATGCATTTCAAATAAATGTCTGTAATTTAAAATTCAATTTTCTATCTGACAAGTTCAAATTACGAAATTAAGTTACATTTTCTGCTATTTAAATAATAACTTTTGTCAAAGATCCAATCTGTGATGTGATTCTATTTTAACCCAGAAGAGATTAAAATTAAAGATTTATAAATATCAAATACTAACTAATGAATGAACAAATTAACAACAGTGAATTATCATTAACCTATCAGCTGAGCAATTATTTAAGCATCTTCGTAATTAGTCGAGAAATTAAACTTTCATCCAACCAATTAACCAATCAAACGACAAGCCATTAAATCAACTGTTTTTAGTTAAGGTTTTAGTTCATGATTTAACAGCATCCTTCTTATTTATTAAAGGGATTGTTCACGCTTTTGAAAATATCATTGATTTTGATTAGGTTTCTAGCCGTGACAGCCTGAGTCTTAAAAAAATAGCTCTGAGTGGACAACATTTATAAATAGTTGATTAAAGATCTGGAATAGTTTAAGCTTGAGATTTTAAATCCCTATTAAAAGCAGAGATTACTCGCCACAAACTCTACTTTTCCTAATTTTGCAACCTGATAATTGTTGATCTTTCAAATGTTTTCTGTTCAATTTACAGATTTCTAAGCTTAAAATTTCATAGGTCTACGACATCAGGTTGCTAAGAGATAAGGATTAGAAAATTAAAGTTAATGTTGAATAATCAGTTCCATTGCGGAAAACGACAGGATAAAACTTAATGGATAATAATGGAAAGTATCATTCTAGCCATCGGGGATAAAGATTATCTTTCAAATATATTTTAAGAAATATATGTTGTGACGAATTAAACCTGTTCCTGTTTGTAGGACCTGTTCGAAGAGAAGATTCGACATTCTGCTCTCAACATTTGCTTCCCAGAGTACAATGGTCAGTTAATAACAACATTTAACGGAACAGAGGTCGGAAATAATGAATAGCGTTTAACTAACTAATGCTTAGTTCAACTATTTCTTCATTATATCCGACCTCTGGTCACTTCAGCTTCAAATCATTCTTCTCATTAAATCTATAATGTGCATGTTTTCATATTTAAGTTTTGTAACTAATATTATTGTAATTCTAGTTCATATCAATCCATTTACTCATATACTATCTTGAAGTATTGTTCCTATATTCCTGTAAGTAGATACACATGAATACTAGCTATGAGCCAAATAATCTAATGTTTCTCATGGTTGTGTTGTATCCATATTTTAACCATAAATTACAAAACTTAATTTGTTTCTTGAGAGCGGAAAGGTTTTTGCATTTTTAGCTCTTCTCCGGTCTACATCTTATCCAAGATGTTTTCGTATAAAACAAATCTTTTATTTTAAGATGGTCGGGTTTGGGTTTGCTCATGCAACTCATGGATACTAAACNACGTCTGTGTAGTTATCTGTACTAACTGAACAGCACACACCTGTTAAATTTGGTATTTAAGTAATTGGTTTGTGGGGTTTAGTAATGATGCATAAATTCAGGATTTCTTACTGAGATTTATCCTTATTTCATAAACCACGAGATAAGCATATTAACAATTAAATTTAAAAAAAATTTCACACAGTGTTTTACAATACCAATTAAAGGCTTATTAAATTTAGTTTCTTTTGAAGGTCCAATATTATTCTGGAAACAAAACAAAAAACAAAATAATTTATTGAAAGAATACTTTTATTTGATGAATAAAATATTTTGAATTTACTTCCAATTCTGAAGATTGTGTGACGATTTTAAACAGTATAATGTTAAAACTTCATATTGATATATTTTTGTGTAGAAGGGGCGGATTTGTCGGATTCATTAATTTGAAGAGTGAAAGTGAATATGCGCTTAAAACTGAAAGTTTCTATTTAAAATATACCTAAACAAAGCACTGAGTAATTGAAATAAAGTATTCTGATCTTATGCCCTTAATTGTTGGCTTCTATCAATTAAGCCATCTGAGTTTCCCGGTTTAAGGTTGACACGACATGAATAAATTTCTCTAATCCTAGCTCATTAAACTAATCTAACGCTTATTTTATATTATAATAATCATTCAATCTTTTCATTTATTTGTTTGACAAATATTTGTCCATTCCAGTTTAACTCCTTAAATACAACTTAAAACTAAGAAAGTTTTTGTCTGTTCGATCTTGTGTCATGAATTGTTGAGAAACCGGTTTTAGGATACATTAATTATTTTCTCTGACAGAAGGAAACTTATTACTTAATTAGGCCTAGCTTCAGCTCGTCTGTCAAGCTCTACGTCTTGTCAGTCACGCTGTTGATTTGTCTGTTGAGGAGTTTTTTTCCTGTCTGTCATAGAATTTCACTTTCCATCTGTTATTGTTTTCTTAATTTGTTATTGTTAATAACTGAATCCTTATATTGATGATTTGGATCTATGCTCCTTTCAAAGATTTCTTTGTCTAAGCTTTCTTACTACGGGTTTTCTCTCACTGCATACAATGTAGAAAGACAATGGGTTATTATTTATAATGCTTACTCATCCCCCCCCCCCCCCACACAATCTAAACCCAAACCAATTTGTATTCCTTGATCACTTGATAGGGTTGAAGATATCCTATGATAAGAAGATATATGATATCAGGACGTATCTTGGAATGCTCAGGGTGGGTGTAACGATACAAACCTCCAGGATTCATTTAAATTCAGAACTCCGACTCATCTCATGATAGGAATACAGAGTAAACGAGTCGGGGCCTATCTTCAGATTAAATATTTTAAATTCTACTGCACCATGAATCAACAAATCTGAGGCGGTCAGGTTTTTCCATAGATAAAGATAGATTGCGCATATGACGACATTTTTCATCTTGAAAGATGTAAATGTCAGAGATGTTTTAAAGATATTCCTATTAAATAGATTAACTAGGTTGGTTGTGAACATTGGCTGTTCTTATGTCATTGAGTACTTCTGGTGTACATGAGTTCTGTAGAGAGAAATTTAAGTTAGTTTAGTCCTTCTCATGTCCTTCTTCAGTTCTCGTCAATATGATATATTGCTCAGTGAAATATTGTTGTTTAAATAGTTCCTGAGTGGTTTAATAATTATGAAATCAATTAAAACACCAAACCACCCCGCTATACTATACAATTCTTGGTGATTTTGCGTACATAAGCTATCTATGTTTATTTATTTATCTATGGGTTTTTCTCTGGAAAGTCGGTTGGAAATAAATATTTATGAAATCTGAGTGTTTCTTTGTTTACAAAAATGATGGAACAATTAAGACAGATCCTGGTTCTGCCCACCTCCGATATATAATGCGGGGGGTAAGTGTGGTACATGATCAATGCAGCATTGCATTATAGAAGTATAAAAATAAGCTAGTTAAAGTACATGGTTCCGCTAGCACATGAAGTACATGATTAAGTATACACAATGCATACGTACAATTGTACAATGCACACGGATAAGTATATAGAATAAACAACTTGAAGAACACGTGGGGTTTAGTTGAAAAGATTAATAGTTCTCCTAACTATCCCCTCAGCACGCTCAATAGACAATGTTTGATTAAAGTTTTTCTCTCCGTAATCTATGTTAAACGCTCGCTTTGGAATAAGTTGGTTTAAGCCCACTGCCTTAGGCTAGGATGAGGCCGTTATATCTAGGCATATTTTCTCCCCCCCCATCACATTCTCACACTAGGTGAAGGAATTAAACTCCATGAAACCTTGATTATGCCGCAAACATGAGGAAGCTCATCAAGCGGGTTACATGACCTTGTACTTTAGAAATATTTGTTGGTCTTGTTTTTCTACAATTTTTTCTTGGTTTCTTCTGTTTTATCTTTGAATCTATTAGCTTGGGGGAGAAAAAGGGGGGGCGACTGTTTTAATGTAAACACGATTTATCAAGGTGAACTGTCCCAATATCCTCAATCAATTCTTGGATTCATGTGACACGTATCATTCGACAGAAATTATACTCACGTCTCCACAAAGATTTGAAATGTAGGTTTCTGTTGGTGCTTGTTTTTCTTATTGGAAATTCAAACTTAAACATCCGGGAAGTATTTGCAAAAAATCCGCAAAATATTTTTGTATTGAACCAGACTGGTCTAGCATGTCCGAGGTACGCATTAAATTTCACTTGACGGGTAACGGAGTGCTGGGGGATGGAACTCGGTACAGCAGGGAACTGAATGTTTCTAAATCAGTTATCAGTGATGTCAGGAACACAGAAGAGAGTACTGATGAGATCACAATCGGAACTGGGTCCGTTAAAGTTGTCGCTTCACGAGAGAATGGGAATGTGTTATCAGAAAATGTCATAGAAGCTGGGATCGACGATAAAGATGGATTTGAGAATGTCTGGCATGAGGTGAACTGGAGATGGTCTAGAGTTCTAGGTTTTCACGTTCCTTCAAACTCTCAGAAAATCTAGATAAATCACTACCATCTTAACATGGGAACATCATCCTTATCCATTGAACTTTCTGTTTAACGAAATATATGCTTTTCATCTTTAATTGTTTTATACCTTACCATTATTGTGTCAGCAGCTCGTCTTTTTCTACCCTGACTGATCTGGTCAGGGTGGGTTTTCGCCTGTAGTTTCAAGGCTAGGTGTCCCCCCAGACCCATATATCGCGTGAGAACTCGAACACTTCAATCTAAATCTGACCTTTTGCAGCAGCATACCTTCCAGCATCCACATTCTAGCAGCCGGTATGCGGTGTACACCCATTTAAACACTTTAAATTACGCTGTACAAGTCATTCTAATTAAGAGAAGCAAATTACAGTTCTGATACTGATCTTAGATTCATCTTACTCTTCAAGGTTTTTATGTGAATAAAATTAATCTAGTTCAGCGATTAAAAATATATTTCATGGGTTACTTCTGTCAGGCCAAGATGTCTGTTTTTCATCAAATATAACATTTCCTTAAAGTTCAAAATACAGCATGTCCCAATAAAAATCAAAGGCATATAATTTATTGCTAACGTAAATTTTGCAATTTATTTTGTTATGTAGATCAACAGCTGTTCATATTTTAATTTTTGTATTACCTCAACAACATTTCTGAGACACCCTGTATAATATATTAATAGCGCTAGATTTTGATATTTTAATGTAGATTTATTGAATCAATCTAATCTTGAATTCCTTGAATACAACAATATATCATGGACTAACGGGAACAAAGGAGTAAATCTAACTGTTCCACGGAAAGATCAAACGTCAAGGTTGGAGCAAAAACATTATTATTCTTTGTGTTCTCTTTAATTTCTGATTTGCAAATTGCAGTGCAGAAATCTCGGTGCAGAATATAGAGTTAATTATAATTACAGGTTGTATTAACAGACTGCAACGAAATAAAGTCACAAAATTCTGATATAGGGAAATAAATCGAGCATTATCTATATAATGAAGCTCTTCGCTTGTGTGTGAAATATCTTCTTAAAATAAGTTTAGAACATTTTCTATTGTTTATTATGATAAGTTATTGCTAGACACGTTGTTTCATATTTGTTTTAACATGTATATGGTTGCGTTAGCTGCCCAAACGGCTGGACCAAATTGGCTGTGTAGCCCGGGGGTCATCTAAGCTAAATTTTTTTTTTTAAATCTAACTTAGAAATGTCGAGGGCAACGCAGAGCCTAAAGGATTATTATTCGATTATCCATATATTATATATCTATATTATAAAACAAGACGTTCGATCGTATATATGTTCCCTCTGGCCGGCCAAACAGCTAAAAAAAATTATCCACGGGCAACGCCGAGCCCTTCAGCTAGTGTATATATATATATATATATATATATATATATATATATATATATATATATATATATATGTTCTGGTATAGGACTGAATTCAAGATGTATTCACATAATCCTGGGTAATTACATAATCCTGAGTTATTATA